TTACCCAATAACGCAATAAACACATGTTTTTTTCTGAGTAGCGTAAACTGATCGTGAACTCCGATTTGCCCATGTTATATCGGGTGGAATTGATTTTGAAAGAATTTTAGCTTTCAAACTAAAGACTGCGTCTATCGTTAGAAAGTATTTACTTACAAACAAAGAGGTGCTAAATTTACAAAATTGACTTGTATTGTTCAAAGCCGCTACCACATCACGCGACTATGTCTATTGTTTACAAATTATTATCCACGACTGGCAGGATGCGTGTCGGTTGGTACGTAAGTATAATAACAATATGACAATAGTCGGAAGTGTTTCCGCGGTGGTCGCTAATTTTGAGTGCCGGTCAGGCCGACCAGCGTGACGAGATCCCCCAATGAAAAGAAGCACTGTGGCGGTCTTGCTAATCACCGTGGCGGTGTCAGACCGGTGTGGCGGCAAATCGAAGCACTGTGGCAGGACCGCCACGCTGTTTACATCCTGGGGAGAACACTGCAATCAGTATAAAATCAAGTTCAATTATCATGGTGTCACTAGCATATACAATTTGCAATATATAAATGAAAACACAGAAATAAGTGCAGAAATGAAGACATTTGCACTGCTGACTATGAGAACCAGATGTCAGTAATAAGCCTCAGTAATATACTCTCCAAGATCTGTTACTTAGATATACAGGGATTTTTTTTAAACAAGGGAACAGGGGCGCAGCACCCTCATGCCATGGCCATGCGCCCCCTTACCCTGGGGAGTAGATCCTCTGGCAACCATAAAATTTTGATTGACCAGGGATCACATGTGGCCACAGTCTGATAGTAATTTTGGCCCCAAGGAAGCCATAGAATGCTCCATTTTAACTTAGAATTATCAAAAACTCCACACCCTGGTGGGGAGAACCCTATCTCCCCCACTTGGTGGCGCCGCTAAATTGCAGTGCTCCCTCTTGCAGTTTTTTTCTAGAAAAAAACCCTGATATATTAGATATTTCACTATGTACTATTCGGGATCTTTAATGCAATCATGTTATATTATTCTATAAGGGACCTTGAAATATTAAATTATATTTAGTATTAAAGGTAAAAAATGTTGTTATACATTCTCCCCAGCATTGAATTTAAATTCTCACAGCGCTGGACAATCACAAGGGTGATAAGCACTCAACTAGTTTGTATTCATCTTGAATTCTTATAAGTTATTAATAATCTAGATACTCGTGGACAAGGTTGTGATAGTTATGCTATGTTAAATATATATTACAATGTTGGAGTGTGTAAACGATATCAACTAATTGGCTTGTTATCTTGTTACAGATATCCAGTGGGCATAAATCTCAAAAAGAATAACTTAGCCAAGGAAATCAACTCTGCTATAAATGCAACATATTTTGTATTGATTGGCAGAGGTAATTGCAGGTAATATGGCTTTACCTTACTTATATGAACATCGTTTCTAAAAACCTTATCAAGGAAAGAATGTAACTGGTATATTGTTCGTAGAATCACTTATTGTCTGTAACTGATTGCATGGTGGAAACTATAAATCAATGTCTTGTAAATTGCAATTTCTAAACTATTTTACATATCATGGCAACAGCTTTATATTGATTGATATCAAGGATTTATAAGGTGTGGGTATAAAAGTTTGTGGATATGTGTTGAAGATCTCGTACAAATCGAAGAATGATTTTGGATTATGAGATGATTGCAAAAGAACTAATTAGTTTTCACCTTGGATTGTTTTTGATAGCGTTCTTTATTTGCAAAGCAATGTAGTTTGTACGTTATGCATTTTTCAATGTGGCGATAATCTCACTAATTTCTGTTTATGTAATGAAACGTTTTCAAGCATTCACTGTGTTCTGTGATGCAGTTGGTCAGAAACGCATTTTATTGATGCGCATGAAATGTGATTGCTTTGAAACATTGGCAAAGTATGCAAGATCTTCACCCCACTTATCACACCCTACATAGTCATGAAAGTTACATATCCTCATCTCATAAATCCTTGTTGATATTTTTATTGCTGCGTGCATTTGCATCAATAAACACTTTGATTATTTGTTCTCCTATATGTTATATTGCAACCAATTGATCAATTCTGTGCACGTGTGTTTTGCAGTGGGTTCTCAGTGGCAAATACAAGTATGACCGTTGAGGAGGCAGTGGAAAATATCATGGCAGCAGTTCAAGATCTAACTCGCAAGATACCACGAGGATGGCCAAATATCAGATGTTTATATCTAAAAACAAAAAGATCTGTATCCATTCCACTCTATACATCAATAGAGTATGAGCAGCAAGTCAAGGAATCCAGTAAGTACCGTGGCTTTATTGGTGTTGAAGATGTATATACAGAAAACTATGATTTGATGCATTTTTAAGCACTTTATCAAATTTGTTGAATTTATTTCTCATTAGAAACGGAAAAGGTGGAGCAAGAGGGAGATGGAAACGAATCAGGATTTGTGGAAGAAGAGGAAACTGATACAAAAACACCAGTCACTAAGAAAAAAAAAGAAACAACAAACACAGATAAAATAACCAAAAAGAAGAGGAAAAGTCTTGGTAGTTTACTAACGTCGTCAAAAAAAAAGAAAACAATAAAAACATGAAACTGTTATAAATATGTAATTACCTAAGCAAATCACGGGTATACAATAAACATTTTTGAAATTGTCTAATACTTTTTTGTATCAGTAATTGCATCTTGTTATTGTGTGTTAAGATAACACCATTGTGGTCAGAAAGTTTAACAGGTGGTATGTATTTTTTACGTTCATCATATACATTGCATGGGACTCACATTAATCACAACGAATCAACCACCCTCATTTAATATTCACAATTGCTTTGGGCCAAGGTACAACACAAAATTACAATTTTGAATTGATAAATATGTCAATCTTATTGAAATAGACTTTTTATATGTCTTGTGTAGTTTCAATGTAACTAAAATACAAAAACTGAGATGAAATCTACACACAAGACATTTTGCAATGTTCCAGAAAATAATAAATCACTGAGCTTTACATATTTCTTGTACATTTTTTTCGGTCAGTTATTCTGTAATTGTTGAATAATTAGGAAAATTAATAAATTCTCTATCTTCAACAACACTCAAAGTATCAATAATTTTCATTTATGTGCTATTACTACATGCACTTACAAAAACAAATGCATGCATTTATCAATCGAATTAAAATCCAATGTAGTTGTAAGCTCTGAATCTCCTCCCCAATTTTCATATTCTTTTGTCATTTTTGTGGTTTTATTTGTCGAGCAAAGTAATATGAATGCTATCCATTGAGTTACATTGGAAATCTATTGGCCATTGTGTTGAATTTTGTTCCCCAAGGAGCATAGCTACCGGGGTAAGAATAGAACACCAGTACCTCTTATGTATTTACTGGTGTAGAGAGTGGGGGCAGTTATATTCACATTATGCGATACTGAAGTATAGTCTATGGTACCTGCCACTGTGTTTTATGAGAACAAAGTCTAGGACATTTTATAGCGCATTCCATTTGAAAAAGAAGGCAGATTGAAATTCGTTCAGGATTCGTTGAATGCATCTAAATTAAATAACATCACCCCATAAAAACATAGACGTTAGATTCTGGGATCTAATATCTCAGTCTGCAGTCCAACTTTTCATCCACGCGAGTCCTCATACTTATCCTTGCTGTTGGCTACCGATCAATCGCACCCAAAGATAAAATCAAAGAAAGCTTAGAGAGAACTCTCATGTGCTGAGAGTATTAGAGACACATTAAATTTACAGTAATTCAAAATTACTTGATTGAGATAGTGATGGAAAAACTAATAATGCAAATCAGAAAATTAATATGAACAGATTTGAGTGTAAAACTAATGAGGTCTGCACAATGTAACAGACCATCTATGTACCAAGTTTTATTGAAATGTGATTGGAACCAAACAAAAATTATGAATTATTATGCTAATTAGGGAATTAATATAAACAGATTTTAACCCCAAACTAATCAGGTTTGTACATTGTCTTGGAGCATCTTTGTACTAAGTTTCATTGAAATGTGATGATTAGTACTTGAGAAATCTGAAAATTAATTATGCAAATTAGGTTATTAATATGCACAAATTATTTACCCTAAAATTAATCAGGTCTCTGGATAATCCTAAAGGATCTATGTACCAAGTTTCATTGAAATGTGATGATTAGTACTTGAGATATCTGTGGAAAAGCTGAAAAATAACTAATTATGCGAATTAGGTGATTAATATGCACAAATATTTATCCCAAAACAATCAATCTCTGCATAGTCCTTGAGTATCTATGTACCAAGTTTCATTGAAATGTAATGCTTACTACTTGAAACGTCAAAAGCTGAAAATTAAGTAATTTATAAGCACTGATATTACCTTAAAAACTATCAGGTCTGTGAAGTATCCTATGACATCTATGTACCAAGTTTCATTGAAATGTGATGATTAGTACTTGAGATATCAGTGGAAAAACCGAAAATTGACTAATCATTGTTCAAATTAGGTAATTAGTTAATTTTTACCAAAAACTAATCAAAACCTAGCATTAGTTCAGAGCATCTATGTACCAAGTTTCATCGAAATCCAATGGGCGGTTGTTTAGATATCAGTGGAACAGTCATGGAACAGCTAAAAATTAGCTAATTATCATGCAAATTAGGTAATTAATATGCATGGAATTTTACTAAAACCTAATCAAATCTGCGCATTGGCCCAGAGCATCTATGCACCAAGTTTCATCAAAAACTGATGTATGGTTCTTGAGATAGCAGTGGAACAGTCGGACACACGCACACACACACTCTAACTGCAAAGACTCCATTTTGTGCTTCGCACATGGGAGTCAATAAAGTTTGTGTTCGTAACTGTTCATGTTAATGAAACAAGGTATGGACGTCATCACAGAAGATGGCAAGCTAGTCAATCTGTGATTAATACTTGTTATCAGATATACCCATGCTGGTTGGTAACAATGAACAAAATCACAGTGCCACGGCCTACACGTATGTGCTTTGTGCAAAAAAATATTAGACCAGTCTCTCTATAGTAGATATAAAGAAAGTCTTTATTTCCCTAAGGTAGAGAATAAGAATGAATTGATAATGTATACATAAAGCACCTTTATAAAAACAAATTTGCAAAAGATGATGAGCTTTGAAGGACAGTCGCCATTGCGGTGTTCAACATGGGTTGCATGCAACACATGTGAAATCAATTTTTACACAAAATGAGAATGCCCGAGACCACTGCCTCTTTCTCAAAAAAATTCAAACAGTTCTTCAATCCATTGAGTGTCTAAAATACAAATTTACCATACTGGTAAGGCCAAGAAAAAAAATGTTTCTGGTCACATGGACAGCTTTTTATTTTTGTTTCTAAAATAGTCATTGAATTTTCTATGAAAACTAAATTTTTATTTATGACAATTCTGAAAAAAGCATGTGGTGACCCAAAACACGATTTTTTTTTTCTGGGACTAAATATTATTTTGCGTTAATTTAAAAAAAAAACCTACTCAACAAGTCTGACAAGAGCCCTGAATGATTTAAAAAATGCCTACCAATATTAAAGTAGTATTTAACAGTTTGCACACCATTTGGTTAGTAAGTATATACATTGTATCTCAAATTTGCAGAACACTTGTGGAAGGAAAATAACAGACTATTGCACATTTACAAGTACATTTAGTTAAATATTAAATGGCAAAATAACTTTAATACTACTACAGAATAAATGTGTGCAATGATCCCAATTATTGAGTAAAATTGCACCACTACTGTGTATAACGTGGTTATTTACAAGAAATTTACTGAATTACTGGTAACCCATACACCAGAGTTTAACCATCCTCGTATGGAATATTCAGGCTGAATCAGACCAGCAAAAATCTCACTTGAACTTGTATCAAACTGAGGGTACAAGTCTTATCACAATGGAATTTTGGGAAAAACTCCCCATACAGGTATCAAAGGTCAAATTTAAATTTGACACAACTGAGCGTGTTTTTTCACATGTGCATTGCATTGTGGGACAGGCCCATTGCATATAGTGGAAAACTTGACACTGGTAACTCGCTAAATTAAATGTCAAGATTTTGAAATGCTTTTAATAATACACTGTAACCTTGTTATAATGAACACCTTTATAATGAATTTCCATTTATTTTCAACGTTCATTTAATTTCACTGTTTTGAGCATATTCATAGTGTTTTAATTTCATGAATTTGTCAAGAAAACAATGAATTGTCTTGCTATTTTACATGTACATTTAATTTAGCGAATTTTACCTATCAGCTAAAATAGTGAAATTAATTGAAACCCAGCGAATATTTAATACATTTACGGTAATGATCGCATAGCATGGTTCCCTCTCATAACAAACCCAATGTATTACCGTGCTTAATTATAGTGAAAACTAATTGTAATAGAAAATAGATTATAACAAGGTTGCATTGATATGTCTAAAGTAATACAGCTGGTATAGCTCAAAACAAGTCAATCATCATGAATGCTCTCTGGTGTTCTGGTGCTCTTTGAGTCAACACATCACATACAATTTTTTTTTTTATCTGGCCATTACCATCAAATGAAACCACATGGTTACAAGTGGAAGGAATATGATGATCCGTGTTAATGATAGCCAACCAACTTCAAAAAGTTAAAAATCTGGAAGGGATCCATTCACCCAACACTTCTGTAAAATAACACGTAAAATATACCATGTGTATTCAGGAATTTGGCACTCAGTCGTGCTGATTGACACCAGTGTCCCCACTGCATGGGTATTTTGGTTATATCAGTTTACATGGACAGACTGAAGTAGTTTACAACCAAGTACAGAATAGCTTATCCATTGCAAGTATGAATTAATAAAATTTTTTTATTTTTTTTTATGTCAGAAAGAGTTCCTTTTGTAACCCCTCCCCCAACCCTACCCTCTAGCACTCCCCATTTAATTGTACATGCCCCTCCTACAGACATCTATAGTTATCTAGAGGGGGCATATACAAATGAATTGGGTAACTGGGATTGAGTGTTAGAATTAGGGTTAGGGTTAGGGATAGGGGGTACAAAAGGAACTCTTGCCCAGATACAGACACAAACAAAGCAGCATTGGTGTGACTGGCATGACAATCATTCCCACAGTCAGCATGGCACTCGCACTGTCAATGCTATTCTGTCCTCGGTTGTGCACGTCTACTAATACACTAATCTGCTTGATGTATCTAACGTTGCATTGGAAACGTCACCAGCGTACTGAGCTGCAGTCGTCGAGTAAGCAGAGTTTGGCAAATTAGGTGTCTTGCGATCTAAAACCAGTTCTATTTCCTGGAAATCTTTCAAACGCTGAACATCTTTATCTTTACGAATAATAGTGTTTGGAAGTTTGCGGATTTTAATAACTGCATCAGGATTAATACCGAGTTCTTTTGCACATGTCTTCAGCAAATTCTTGTAAGTCAGTTCCACATATTCAATTTCAACTTCAATGTAGTCAGTTTCCAATCCTTTAGCAACTCGTACTTTCAAAACCAGTTCTGCAACAGAACCAGAAATAGTGTTGCCACTCAAATACATTAAAGTGATACAGCAATGTTTTGTACAAGATATTTTTCCTTTATAGCACAAAACATGACATCTACAAATGTAGCACAAAATGTAGTATTTTTCCCTGGTCTTTTAAGCATGGTGGTTTTACCATGCATGGCCAACTGTAACATGACGTGCAACTTACAAGAGAAAAGAGTTTGATATGTTGATTTTGCATAATGTTTCAAAATATATATGCAAATTAGAATGTATTATGCAAATCAGCCACTATTTATTATCAGGGGAAAAGCTACTGTAAAATACATTATTTTCGCTTGAAATTAAATTTCGCTGAAGGAATGATTCAATAATAATAAAATCCAGGGAATATACCTTATTTTACATTCAACTCGTCAATAATCAGTAAAAATAAATTCCATAAAAAACACCCAAAAAGTTTTTTCAGCGAAAATTAATTCCAGCTAAAATAAAGTATTTTACAGTAGCGTTTTTTTCCCCAACAGATTCATGCATGTTTACTATTTTGTTGTGTGGAATTGAAATAGCACCACTATGGGACTGAAAGCAACAAGAGTAATTTGTTTGTTACCATGAAGTCATACTTACCATGACTAGTCACATTTCTTCCTGTATAGGAGTTACCAGTATATCCTTCCTTTCTGTAACCGGAATCAGAGTTATAAGGAAATTCCGGGTATCGTAGATAAGATGGTGTTATGGGTAAACTATCGTCTTTGTTGATTACAGGACTGTCATCACCACCTTCATTACCTAGAATAGTATAAAATATCAGTCATTGAAAAGTTTGCAAGATTGGGTTAGTTTTTGAGTAGTTGAGGCACCCCTATGACTCCTGCTATGGATTTTTAGTCCCTGTTCAGGCGAAACCTGAAAGGGGAGTACTAGAATTAAATTTCTTTCTCAATTTCAAGTTGTCTTTCACATTTTCTCAGGGACTGTGCAGCAGATGTCAATGAAACTTGGCAGGTTGATGAACAAGTCTGTATCACATATGCACATAATTTTTTTTCCAGATCTGAAAATCTTAAGTGGGTCTTTTTCAAGATTTTCATCCAAAATTACACCTCTCCTACTACACTGACAGAGCAACTGAGCATGCTCAGAATAATTGATTCTGTTAAATTCAGATTCATGAACTCCTGATTTCTGATTCACATGTTTTACCAAATGTATTCGAACCTAACTAAATGAAACAGAAACTCAGTTTGCACTATACATCAAAAATGCAGAGCTGTCACTAAGAAACCAAAAACACTTAGGACAACTGGAACTAAGAATTTGTGTTAAACAGAAAATATTCACAAAAAGTATGGAGATACAGCATGCCTTATAATCATGAATTTAAAATTATTATTATTACATATTATGTACTGTTTAAAATAATAAAAACTTTCTATTTCGAAAAACATAATTTTTTTCCCCCAGATCTAAAGTTGGTCTTTTTCAAGATTTTCATCCAAAATTACCTCTCCCTACTGCACTGACAGAGCAACTGAGCATGCTCAGAATGAATAATTAGCTCAGATTGTAATGCTATTGTTTTAAAAGTGATGTCATTAGCTGGTCATGGCCTTGATCTGAATCAGTGACAGATGGGATGTACCATTACCAATCTCAGTGGAAAAATGTTGAGGGGTGTCAGGGCTACATTTTGATGGGAATTATAGTGGTGATAATGAAACAAACCCAGGTCCTGGTAATATACAAAGACCTGAATTAACAAAGAAGTCAAGTTGTTATTAAAGGTACATCAAGGTTTACCAAAATTTATGAATGCAGTTTCTTGAGCATTTATGAGACACAGTTTGGTTGCACTTGTGTACTATGAGATTTTGGATGGGGGTCAATGAAAGTTTTCAGTTATCAGATTAATTAAGGGAAATCACTCTATGATGAGTTGTACCCACATAGAGTACATATTAATTCAATTGTTTGCAGATGTTCCATGTATTATTTTAATATGAGTATTTTATAATTAAATGTCGAGGACTGTGACATTTATGTCTTGTTTACTTCAAAAACTCAAAACAAATTGTTTAATAGAACCTTTTGTACCCAGTATTTATAAATACAGCTCCACTGCCATCAATTAGGTGAAGTAAGTTCTTGTATTTACATCAGCTTTTGATGGCCATGGTGGCTTAGTTATGCTTAATACATTGCACAAGAGTTTTGATTCAAGTATCCATGACACAAGAACACATGTCCTTGTTAAGGACTACATCTGATGGGAAACAAAGTCAACTCATTTTTGTCATCTGACAGTTTCAATAAAAAGTTTGCATGACAGTGACAATGACAATACATGTCAAAATCTATAATTGTTTTAGTATTCATTAACCAAATGTGCATTTTTTTAATTCATGGTCAATCTGGTTCTTTTGGGAAAACTACTATCGAATAATATGCATAAAATATCAATTTAGCAGTGGTTTCCATAGGCCACAATGAAAACCCACTATAAATTAGGTCAATTTTATTAATATCCATAGATGAGTACACACTAACACGTTATATTATTTCATCATATGTCACTGGCCTATATTTTGAAATACATAGACATATCTTTGCTATAGGAAATAATGTTAAAATGCCCTACAAACAAAACATACTAATTTTTTTCTGAGTAGAGTACAGTGACCGCATATTTTTATTTAATTTTCTTCATCCATACATCATAAAATGTGAAAATAAAGGAAATGACATTATTTTGCACTTTTGAGTAGCACTCTTAATCTCATAATGCTAGATGCATGTAGTGAAGATAGAGTTAGCATTGACATATTGCAGTAAAAATCTCTATTTAGCTAATGATTTAGCTCAAATTCCAACAATCTCGTTCAGGGTTTTTTTCTAGAAAATTTTTTTAAGAGGGAGCATACCATTGGTAACACTGTATATTTGTTATAACTGATCATAATCTACTGACTATTACAGATTTGCCTGGGGTATGAGGGCGCCCCTGTTCCCCTGAACCCCTGCTGTTAATAGATAGATTTTTAGATAAATAGAAAACACCAATGACCTATTAACTTCATATTTGCTCTATTAGTAGTGCATGTTTTTATGTCAATGACAGAGGTGTGTCTATGATCATGTCATATTTTAATGATCCAGCATAAAGGCAGTGTTTGGTTTAAGGGCACTTCCAATACAGTAGCAATAGACAAAAAAAACATGTTTTACTTTTGAGGGTTTTTTTCACGTCAGATGTTGCTAATGAACAGTTATAACACCACCCCTCCCTGCCCCCTACCTAATCCAACCCTTAACAGATAATTCTACTGTACCTCCAAGAAGTTCCTTGATCTGGGGACTAGTTGTGAGATGCACTGGTTTTTCTCCTTTTTCAGTAAGAAGGTCTTTATTTGCACCATGATCCAGTAGATACTTTGTGATACTGACATGATTACGTTTACAGGACCAATGTAATGCTGTCCTGCAATATATAACAACAACAAAAACATGTTAAAGATGTCTTGTAATGTTTTCAGGGATTGAAAGTTCATTAGCATACACAGTGTACATGTTGGTTTTGATAATTACTGCACCAAGCTCAGAGTACAATGGACCAAATATTGTTTATAACACTGTTGAGGAAATTTGTTAATTCATTCGCATCAGACTATGCAGCCATCATCAGTTTATGGTTGTTGTTTTGGAACCATATGGTCTTTTACGGGCTCATCAAAACACAAACAGGTGAAATTACATAGACTATCATATCGGTGCTGTATCTGCAGTTGTGGATAAGTAGACACATTTTGCCTTGAATTTGTAATTATTTTTTTTCAAAACAAATCTATTTAGCAATAATATTGCCTTTAATCATTTTTAATTTTCTACTTTTTCACATGTTGCAGGTCTACACATGCTGAAAAACAACATGCACATTGTAGTGTAGATGCATGTATTTTAAATCCTTGTGTTGTGTACCAGTATATAAAAATATAAAATATGTCAGTGATAAAATACTGAGAATAGACTATTTAGTTTTTTTGACCAAATATTTCATTACTGATATAGCCCACCTACTGTAGTACACTCATCCTACTACCATCACCCATATTTCTCATTATTTTTAATCTTGCTACATTTGCAAACGTTATTAAAACACTGCCTGCTGGCGCATTTCCCCCCCCCCTTTATTTCAGCTAAAGAGGCTCTCAGCAGGCAATGTGTTGAAACATGAGTGTGTTTAAATATGGTATGATGCAACATGGTGTAAATCAGTGAAATGCAGCATCCTCATCAATTTTAATGTAAGACTCCTTCATGTATATGGACCAGTACATATGACTTGCTGGTACACAAGAGCTAGGAAAAAAAATGTTGAAAAGTTTTCCTTGACTGAAACAAAAATACTTTATTTCAGGGCAAAAAAAAAAAATGTCATGGCCAAATATTAGGGAATTATTATCATCTCCACTATCGGATAAGACCACCCCGATTTATGATTTTGTTCTGTCATGTTGTGATTTTGATTGCTACCTAATTTGTATAAGAGCCATACAACTACCGGTACTACCAGTATGTAGTGAGTGTGTGTGTTTTTTTTTTTTTGGGGGGGGGGGGGGGGTAAATAAATAAATAAAAACTCGCGACTCCACGCCCAACCCACCACCAGAGTGGATAAAACTCGTTCTTATGGAAAGACTTGTACGCGTTATTATTCTGATTTATAGCAGACTAATGTTGCTAACACTTGTCATCTCTTGAACAAAGTCACGCCCGTTTCAGAATCTCCAGACAGCGCTGTACATAGAACCACGGAAAGCAACATAACCAGGCACGAAAAAAGATACATACCACCCGTTAATAAGATGCTGTGAATTCACATCAACTTCCATTTCCATGAGTTTCCGAATACCATCTTCGTTGCCAAGGCAGGCAAATTCTCGCAATTTCTCTTCCATTGTAGCACTGAGTACTCCACGTTTCAGATTTGACGCATGCAGCGAACCGTCTGAAATATCGAGACGACGGAAACTGTGAACGAGGTTGAGTATGTTGACCCTCTAACTTTAATTTTAGTCGTACCCTATGGCCAAGTTGTTGACATATATTTGTCTATTTATGAGACATCTAGCAAATCCACGAACACTATCTAATAAATATCTACTCATTGATTATGTTCATATGTTTGTGTAACACTGATTCATAAAAGAAATGTTATACTACAAAATCAGAGCAGCCTAGGGAGTCCCTGGAAATTTCCGGCAGAAGGAACGAAAATTTCCGAAAATGGCGGTTACCGCTGCTCAATTGCTCGATGAGTTGATGGGACGAGATCGTAACCTTCTCCCAGATCAGAAAGCAGACGAAATAAGTTGGGATTCTCCTCAGGTATTTATACGATAAATGTACTTGATATAGTGCCCAAAGAAGTGCATTTTTTTGTTGCTCAACACGTGCTGGGCTTCATAAAACATCATGGCGTCGGTGACTTTAGTGTGAGCCACCAAATTTGCCCGATATACGTACATTTTTCTTTTGATTATGCTTCTGTTAAAAATTACATGAACCGCAAAGTCAAAGTCGATATTCTTATCATATTCTAATCGCAACAGAATATTCGTTGACAGTCCAATAATTCTTTTCGTAGTCGAGAAGCACATTGATTGGTCTGTGCAGTAGAAAGGAGGTGGATGCTGTGAATCGAACCAATCAAAAGCAGCGTCTTGAAAAAAAAAAATAAACTCAAATAGTTCTGTATCAGAATTGAACAAAAAAATAATTAACAATATGGGCTAAATAGAGAATAATATAATATTTAAAGGGCTGTGGTCGTCGCGCCGCGTCCTGATCGATATGGACTAATAGCGACGTACACAACCCGTGTAAAATACTAGCTGCAGTTTTGTAGCTCGCTT